GTGACGTTGCAGGGTGAAAAAATTGCGGGGTGCACACAATACCCTGACAGGCACTGTGGCACCCGGCGAAGGCTATTTTTCGTCTCCCCCCTTGATCTGTTGTGGCGCTGCTCTAATATGGTTTGGCTGCTGACACCAGGAATGCTTTTCTTTTTTTTCTGAGGGAGAGACGCTCAAAGCACCTAAACCCTTTCCTTCTTCACCGCGCGCGGGTTTATGGCGCTGCTCCACTGTGGGACGCTAGTTTCTTACCATATGTAGAAAGGCGTTTCCAACTGATGCAAAATAGTTTTCAATTAACGCCGCTAGCATTATCTAAGGTGCGTTACAGCATTTACAACATAATTTCGGCATTGCCAGGCACAAAGCTACAAATTACTGTAACAAAACTCGCAAACAGAGCTTTCGCTGTCGGAGTTCCTTTAAGTGAGCTAACTTTGTGTTGCTCGTCCTGGTGAGAAATTATTATCAACGGTAATGAAGTAACAAAATGAAACAGAACGTGCGCTCACACCTGGCACCCTAGCTGCGTCCCAAAGTGCACGTTCATGAGGTGGATGCCAACTAGTTTACCCCAATATGTTTTGGTCACAGCTTGCGCTGTTTTATGCAAAGTTACCGAATTCCATGCGAAATCTTTTCTTCAGGGCACTTAGCGTTAATTGTGAATCTCCCGTGACAACTTTCTCCGAGAAAATTACCATGCCGACACCATGTGAACATCGACAAACGGTTGAACAGATCACCTGTTTGTTTCACAGTTACTCCGCTTTTATTGGAAAGGAGCACAGGGTAGTGTGGTGGTATCTTGATGAGTGGAAATACGAAAATAACATAAGTAATGACTCGTGTTTTTCTGATGCATACGCGAGATACGTAAACAGGACGTCCGAGCACGTGTGCCAATCGTATAGCGTCGACTGCACCTCCTCACATAGTCAAGATGGTATAAAGGTTTTTAAGGAGTGTTTAATAAACAACCAGAAAACATGACTGGTGTTATATTCTGAGTGCGCTCACATTTGTCCATTTTGCCTAGTTATGCTTACAGCAAATTGTGCAGAACCCGTTTTTACCTCGAAAGTGTGGCATTGCATCTGATTAACAACTTTATTATAATGATTCTCATTGGAACAAAGTTGTAGTGTCTGCGTTGTACTTTATAAAGCAAAAGTATCAAAACACTGTTACTACATATTTCAACCATCAGCATTGGATGTAGCAATGCCATCTTAGAAACCTAACATTTTAGAAATATTTGTATATAGCTTGAGTTAGCGGAGAGCTTCCAACTTTTATCTGCTCGTCGCAATTTGAACAACGCGTTCTCATGTGAACAACGCCTTCTTTCAAGTAGCGGCGTGAGGAAGATAGTTCGTCATATTCGCGACTTAAGCAATTCATGCGGCACCTAGAAGCATTATAGCAAAGCTGCGTACTGAGGTCCAAACAGTCAAGAAAGATATATCGCACAAGCATCCACTCCGGAAAGCCGCTTTTGCGTCCGTGATGGTCTACTGTACAAGAAATCCATCTCCGGCACCGGTTCCCGCTTCCTGCTGGTGGTTCCAGAGGCACTACGGTCATCTGTTTTGTACGCCATGCATGATGACGCCACTTCAGGTCACCTCGGAACGACGCGCACTCTTCATCGTACCCAGGAACGCTTCTACTGGCCACGTATGCGCCAGTCAGTTGAGTTGTACGTGGCCAGTTGTGCGCAATGCCAGGCGCACAAATCTCTCTCAGCAGCTCCGGCCGGACATCTACAACCTGTGACGCCTCCCAGTTCTCCGTTCGAACAAATTGGCATTGACCTGGTGGGCCCTTTTCCGCGTTCATCGAAAGGCAACAGATGGATTGTGGTATGTGCTGACCATCTTACTCGGTACTGCGAGACTGCTGCCCTGCCATCCGCGACTGCTGGTCAAGTGTCGTCCTTCCTTCTCCATTCTATCATACTGCGTCATGGGCCCCCTCGCGTCATCATAAGTGACCGTGGACGTCAATTCACGGCAGACGTTGTCGAACAACTTCTCCGTATGTGTGGCTCAGAGCTCAGACACTCGACGCCTTATCACCCGCAGACGAATGGTCTCGTCGAGCGAACAATTCGAACACTGGTGAATATGCTTTCTATGTACGTTGCTTCGAACCACAAGAACTGGGACGATGTCTTGCCGTTCGTCACATACGCGTTTAATACTTCCCAACATGAGACCACCGGCTACAGCCCGTTCTTCCTCCTCTATGTTCGACCCCCCCGTTATACTCTGGATACAATATTTTCCTTATCTGATCGGAACCAATCAGAAATCTCCCTAGCAGAAACTCTTTGTCTCGCCGAAGAAGCTCGTCGTCTTGCTCGTTTACGTACAATCGCCTCGCAAGACAGATCGAAAGTTCGTTATGACAGCAAGCACCGGCAGGCCACATATATTCCGGGAGATCTCGTGTTGGTGTGGAAGCCTTTACGCAAACGTGGCTTGTGCCAAAAACTGCTCGCGCACTACATCGGACCTTTTGTTATCCTTGACCGCCTGAGCGCAGTCGACTACCGCATCGCACGTCTTACAGCTAGCGGGAGACGCTCCAGAAAGACAGAGGTCACGCATGTCGCTCGCCTGAAGCCTTTCAGTCAACGCGACACTGCATGAAACGCGCGGCGCGCTTTGTCTGCGAGGGGGGAAATGTTACGCCACGTATGTGCCGGACGAAGAAGGAAAAAGAAGCAAGGGGGGTGGAAGAAGAAGATCATCATCATCTGCCTGCGCCGATACGGCTCGTCCCTCGAACCGTGTATCAATAAACCCCCAGACGCCTACTGAGGTCGTAACAATATATATATATATATATATATATATATATATATATATATATATATATATATATATATATATATATATATATATATATATATATATATATATATATATATATATATATATATATATATATATATATATATATATATATAAATGCAAGGAAAGGTAGGGAGGTTAACCAGACGCACATCCGGTTGATATCCTGCACTGGGGAAGGGACGAAGGAGAGAAAAGAGGTTGCAGAGAGATAAGAAAGTACACACAATCCCGAGCACACTCAACCAAAGGCTGCATAACAGTGTCGCATCGGAGCGGGAAAGTTGTGATGGTTGCTGTATATTGAGCGAGGTATCCAGTTCATATAAGTGACACCTTTGGAAGCTGGTAGACGACCAGAACGTGCGTGTAAGATCTCGAGCCAGCAGGTAAAGTTGTCTTGCTGCATCAGTCCTTGATAGAGGAATCGGGACCACACGGGTTCCTTCATGGGCTGAGTGGGCTACATCATCGGCTAATTGATTTCTGGTAATACCGATATGTCCAGGCAGCCATTAATATATAATATTAAGCCCTCGTGCTAGTGCTTCATGATGGCAATGTCTTATTTTATGTACCTATTGTTCATAATTCCTCCCACGCATGGCAAACTGCAGACTCTGAAGTGCTGCCTTCGAATCAAAGAATATGACCCATTTTGCTGGACGCTCTTGAACGAGATATTGTAAAGCAGCCCTTATAGCAGCAAGCTCTGATGCCGTAGATGTAGTCATATGAGACAACCTAAATTTGATTGTCATTGCTGCAGGCGGAATTACAACGGCCCCTGATGAGCTGCTGGACGAGACGGACCCATCAGTGTTTATCTGCGTTCGGTCCAAGTACAACTCATGTAATAATAGCAGTGCTGCTTGCTTCAATGCTACTCTGAAGTGATTTCTTTTTTTTTTGATACCCGGAATTTCTAGACGTACTTGCGGCTGGTCGAGGCACCACAAAGGACATGCAATTCTCGTAGCTGGCGTATATCCTGATGGAATGCTCTTTAGGTGCTTGGCTATGACGTCTGAAAACGTAGCACTTGGTCTTTCGGAGGGTAGAAGGGCCATGTGATGGTTGGGGGCACGGCTAGGATGTCGAATGTGCACTCTGAGGCAATCCACAACTCTATAAGTCCTGACCGGATGGTCTTTGGCACGCATGATTGTGGCATAAGTAAAAGCACATCGGGGCAGTCCTAGGCAGATACGCAGCGCCTGACCCTGCAAACTCTCCCATGAATGGGTATTGGATTTGCAAGTGTTAGTCAGAACCGGCAAACTGTAGCGCAATATACCCAGAAATAGGGCCCTGTACAGCTGTAGCATGGAGGCCACAGAAGTTCCCCATGCTTTCCCGCACATGAATTGCATTATATGCACAATAGATAGCAGTCTCTTCTTCTAGTACGCACAATGCGGGCTTCACAAAAGACCTCTGTCGATTCCAAGCGCCAGTGTTTTACGGTAGCATCACGGTAGGATGGTGCCGCTCGTGAAGAAAAAAAAAAAGAACGGCCAAGCAGATTTATTCCTTCCAGGTGAGGCACCAATGTTACCTTGTTAACTCGAACCTATTAAATTACCATTCTATTGAGTGACTACAAGTCGCTGCGGCGCTTGAAGTATGTAAACAAATTTCGCAGAGACGCGGTGTACCATGTGCATTACACACACAACCTGACCACTTCATGAACGCCGCTCGTGCTTGCGGGATCACTGGTGCCTACTAAAATAAGCTACTCAGCGTCAACAACCCGCCCCCTTCTACAAAACCGCGTGAACTGCAATCACTCTGCAGAAAACTCAATATTTGTGTTAGCGACAGCAGATGCAGTAACCTCCGTGAATCCGCCATGCTGCAACTCCGCAGCGCCCTCTCATGTTCATTTGTGTTGCGAATAGTATGCGGGATCGGTCGCGCGCGAGCTGTGACAGATTTCACTACCGATGGCTAATTCTCGTAATGTTTTAATGAAAAAGAAATGCGTCAGGCAAACAAATTCATGCGTGATCGCGTGTAAATGCTAGCTCTTTATGCGCCTATAACTGAACCATGTGTAACAGTAAATGCAGAGTCTTCATTAGACATTGTAGAAATTATCACAAGCACACGAAACGCAAATGAAGGCAAACCTACCGCAGTCAAGCCTCTTCGCTTGAGCTTCACCACGTGGAGGGACACGTTGTGCCGGAGACCCAGCGGGTCGAGCCGGATAGGACCGGTGAGGCCAGAGAAAGGTGTCTGCCAACATGCGTGAAAAAACGGTTGCGGACATAATCGCGGATACAACGAGAATAAATGTTCACATGGACACGAATTCTATATGCTACCAAGTGCACATACAATGCAGGACGATGACTTGAATTTATAAAGGGACTGTATACTGTCGAGAAAGATTTTCTCTAATTGTGCCGGAAAATGAAAAGATAATTCATCACATCAGCGGCAACGAGCATCCTTTCGTGCTAGAAAAAATTATAAGTTTAACTTGATGTTTAATGTTGATAAGAACTGACCACTAGCATCACGCCAACAGCGAACGTGGTCAATCTTGACAATCTATTGGTAGGACAGGAAACCCTCGCAGCTAGACTCATTTTGCTTAAGAACAAACCCGTTCAACTTGAAATTGTATCGAGGCAGCTTTAGGTTGCACCAGAGACCATTTTTTCCCTTTTTTGTTCTCTTGCGTTCAAATAGGTGCCTGGTAGCGTTGCCGGCAACGTGTGTGCTTCCCTGCATGCCTGCCTAAAAACGGGCGGACAGACGCGACCACGGCGTCCGCCGCCGCTTATGCGAATAACAAAAAAGTGCGTGCGTGCCAAAACGACCACTAAGGTATTTGTTTTATTTATAACCGAACTTGAAGAAGCCTGCAAAAACGCACGCGGTTTCAGTTCTCGACTTTCACCGGCACCGAACAACGTTGAGGTCATTCATCCCACCGACGAAAGGAGACGTACTATGGACAGAAAAAAATGTGTTTTGAAATCTTCTGCTCACTTTCCAGAGAAACCGATGCAAGGTTAGACACTTCACATGGTGCACATTTTATTGCGACACAACACAGGAGAGCAATAAAGGACGGTAGACACTCCCTTTAAGTATCTTTTTGTTTGAAAAATGCCAAATATAGTAAGTCAAGCAAGGCGACTGGCAAAGGTGGGATGCTTAATCTGTGTTCTTCATGGAAACCTATGCTTAGGTGCTTCTTACACGTGTCCTGCTCAATCATTTTTCAGCACCACTCACTTGTTCATTTTTTCATGTGTTCATTTGTGCCCGAAAAAAAAAACGAATAGACCACCGATGTTTATTTTTGAGCTTGGTTCTTCGCTTTAGAAAATAAGCCTGCCACTGCTCCTTGTAAGTGCTGACTTGTGACGTAGATTCCTCTTGTTGAACATACACCTAGACTCGTTTTGTGCTCTTTTCGGATAGCTCGAGTGCTTACAATTTAAAAATGTGAAAATGTGAAGATGGTTCTTGAACGTTCCTTAGAGAAAAATATGTCTTTTTAGGCTAGCGTAGTGATTTATGTGTACAGCTTATACAGCTACAGTAAGAATTGCACACTATACCCTCTGTGTTGGCTTGTTTTTTACTATGCAAGCTCTCCAGTTTTCTCGAGTATTTGTGCACAAGGTGACCCTGCATTTGTAATGTTTTTATTTTTGTTTTCTCACGCTGTCGCCACGCTAGTGTGTCAACCACAACAAATATATTACCTAAAGCATGAACGAAACCACCAAACTTTAATAAATCATATATGAACAGTGAATTAGTTTCGTCTCGTAATTTTGTCTAAACTAATCGCGTATGACTTATTTATTCAATAATTTGGTCTTCACCATCATCTCTAAGAAACTATTGTAATCACAGCTCAATAATGTATTAGAACGCACTCAGCGGCTTGCCATGTGTGACTAAATGGCACGTAAATATTAGGCTGTGTATAAGGAGCCGACCGCAGACCGTTGCCCTAAAATAAAATCTACTGGCTGCAATGTAAAGTCTAAAAACTGCCTGAATTACAAAAATAGCTGACATGTCTCCGACTCACTGTGTGTTCATGCTAGCTCTGTAAAGCTTTAGACAAGGTGCGCAGTTCACAATAGTCTTTGTAGAACGCATCCACCTGTTTATCACCTGACCCACATGAATTCGATCCAAAACCTTTAGAGTGAGCGTCCAATTTTTGTGTATGTTTGTTTATTTGTTGTAAAGCTACGTTTCTCTGCGAGTGAATGAACCTGTTTAGGCTCGGTTACACGCCGCTTTACAAGCCTGGCGACACACTGTTTCTGCCAACGCATGCGATATTCACGTGTAAAAACTTTAGAAAGCCTCTTTGTATGAAAAACGTGCATGCAAGTGAGCCTCTTCTTCGTCGTTCTTTGTTTCTTGCTCTCACATTCCTGAATACTGCCTCCAAACCTTTTGCTCTGCTCAATGCCAGACATCAAACATTCGTCCTCGCGTTAGCAGCGCAACACTTTAGCTGTCACTGGCTGGTATGACGGCCATGCGATGATATCCAGGCAAAGAAAAATTTCGGTATCATCACATGACAAGTGACGTCAATAGAATATCAAACTCTGATATAAGAAACGGTTGATTGCTGATACAGCAACGACCGACAGAGCACCAATTATTAGAAAATGGCAGATACAAAATGTGATTTGTGCACAATAGCAGGTGGCATTACTGTACGCTCAACGAGGCCGCGTTTTTTGCGTACAATGCCAAATTTTCTTAGTTATACAAACTTCCCTCACAAAGTATTCGCTGTTTCGGTGACAAAATTGTCAAATATGTATGCTGTGCGAGCAAGTCAACCGTAACACCAGCCCCACCAGCACCAGACGGCTATATTTTTGCTAACTTCGTGTCATGAACTATGTTGTCAACGAATGATTTTTTACAATGATGGCATCAACTCTAGCAGAAAAGAAATATTACCTTTTTCACAGCGTTCACAAGCTGATTAGACTGCTCCCAAGCCTCAGATGAATGATCTCCACGGCAGTGAGCTACTGGGATCCGGCTTAAATTTCCGGCTGCGGCCAATCTTTGCAGTGCTCTTACTAGGAGGTTCGCCGCGTCCTGGGCGAGTGCAGCGTCTGTCTGGGTAAGAAGCAATGTTATGAAATAAGCTGATTGCAGACGAAAAATTCATCATACAAGCGTGGCGCAGACTTTGAGGTACAGGGTTCAATAATAAAATCATCATATTGTTACGCAATAATAAAATCATCATATTGTGACACAGACTTTGAGGTGCAGGCTTCAATAATTTAGTTTAGACTGTGCCACGTAGCCAAGACCAAATGGCTCACAACGTCCTAAAAACGCATTCTTCTCTTACTCTTACGAGGATTTCACACCCCTTCTCTTGAGCCACGCGATTCACAAGAGCTTGCATTGGCACATACCATCATGGCATGCGTGACCTCTACTCCTCTTCCTCTTTTTCATGTGGACGCGGCAAACTACTGGGAGGGCGTAGAAAAGTACCGGAGTGCCAACTTTGTAAGAAGCTTTAGCACGAATACCGTTACGCGACTTCTAAGCTCGATGCATGCAATATCGACATTTATATCATAGCATGACGCTAAAAAGAAAGCCCATGGGGTTTAGATGTAATAAACTGTGGCAGCCGCATAGAATGTTGTTGTGGCCAGGGTTTCGGAACTTTCCAGGTAGAAAGCTCTTTCATTATATTTCTAAATTCAAGTATCCTATTCTTCCAAGTGGAAGAGATGGTATTTTTTATAGGAAACGGGGTGTGAGAAAGCAGTCTAGATAAGATACCAACTGTCGAAAGTGACGTCCAATTCGAAATATTTGCAGCATAAAACCAGATTGGGACGTCACTGTTCAGGGTCAGTCAGTTTTCTTAGATGCTGGTTGAGGTGTCTTATATAACCAAGGGACCTCTCTTCTGGCAGGTATTATGGCTGTGTGTCATTATGGCGAGGGTATGCCTCATATGACAACCGTAGCACGATTGCTTAAACGGTACATAATTACTAAACGAAGCGACGAAACAAGCCAACAACACAAGACAGCACACGAAATACAAGCACCCATAAGTACTGCACTTCATTGGGTAGAGCATAATTTTGTTTGGCTTCCTTGTTATTTGTTACCTGTATGATGCTATGTGTGCTTTTACTGTGGTGGGGATGATTGCAAATGGCTTATTTTACTGTAATGGTGATGAATCAAGGCAATCACCACTGGGACCATCTCTTAGTGCGAAGCACGAGCACTGTCAACTATTTGTGGCTGTACTGGCTGCCTGCCTGCGATCAGACGTCGTTATTACCCTTTCGAAGTACTGCGTCGTTGACCAGACGTCGTTGACCCCTTTCGAAGTACTGCGCTGGGTGGTGCATCGCCCGGTGGTATGATTCGGCATTGATATCGCAGTGGCAGCATCTGGTTTTGATTTAGCTGCACATCACTTCCACCACTGTGCATACATATTATACATGATCTGCGCATGTGGATAAGCGTTCAGTTGAGATTTCGCTGCTTGTGTTTTGTTTGATCCTTCCCGGTATCTTGTTTCTTTGTGGCGCCGTTTTGAAATTATGAGGTCCTGCCATGTAGCAGACCTGGCAGACTTGTCAGCCGCAGTTATACCTGGCTTTATGAATTATGAAGTCTCGCTCCTTCTGAAAACAGGTATATAAAATTTTGTTGTATGAGCGCAGCCAGGAAACCACGAATATGTTTCAGCTAGCAGGCTTCTCTGTGAATAATCGACAGTATAAGTTCGCCATCCATAAAAAACTTTCAAAAGAACTGTCTAGTGATGACTAATGAGGACAGGGGGACGATAATAACAGAGTGATTGTTAAGTTCTGCACAAGCTTCTACATTTCTCAAGTTAAAATTGTATGCTAACTTCTTATGACCATCAAGTCGATTACACACTGTTCTGAAGGTTTCACAAAAATGTAAAAGTTCTCACAAATTCCAAAGCACTCGACCTTAGAATGTGCAGATTCGTCAGACGGGAATAAAAATTAATACCGCAATAATTTAGTATGCATCTTATTATACATTTCAAGTGAACAAACTGCTTGTTTGCAATTTACAATGAAAAATATTATTAGTACGTGAATAGGGCTTTCGCTAAACCTTCAAGAACATTAGTGATGAGTTCAGGTGGGCTGTAAATATGATACAAAATTCGTGTGCCTTAGTTACTTCAAGAATTCTGTTAGATGTTCGCTATACAGCCCCGCTTTGCAAACTTCGTGCTCCCATTTTTTTCAGACTCAGCAGTTTTCGTAAGTTTGAGAAATTAAATAAACACCATCACGTAACTTGACTGTATAATAAAGAACTGAGACAGCCAGAACTGTTATTTGAGACCAGGTAGCAGCATAGGCCTCGCCAGCGAAAGCGGCGACAACGTCTGGGCCGAGTGCCTCGTTCTTAGCACTGACGATGTGTACGCCGAGCTATGAATGACCCACTACTTCTTGATTACATATTTCCACCTCACTGAAGACGGGGCCAAGAAGGTGTTCTAAGGTGTCGTGAGGACAAGTGGTTCGTGATACGGTTTGAGATGATCCACGTGTATGTTTTCGCGGCCTCGGCGACGCAGGTTCAGAGTGGGCGTGAGTGGTTCGATGAGGTAGTTGACAGTGGAAGTTTGCTCTATGACGTGATAAGGCCCATGGTAGCTGCTGCGAACTTTGTAGAGGTACTAGGAGCAGCAGTGGTAGGCGCCCATTGCCAAACAAAAGAGTTGGGTGAAAACTGGTAGTGGGACCATTTATCTTCGTGACAAAATTTCTGTAGCCCTTGTTATCGTGTTGTTAGGGTGAGCGCTAATTGTCGACATTCTTCCGCATACCAAGTGGCTTAGGAAACTGGTGTGCCTTCGAATAAGTCTGGTCGGTAAGGGAATATGGTGTCGATTGGAAATGATGGCTCTCGAGTATAAAGTAAAAAGAAGGGAGAAAAGCCTCACGTCGCTTGAGGTGCCATGTCCTAAGCGTACGTTACGCAGGGAAGGATAAGATCGCATATGCGGTGCTACAGCGACGAATCACATGGCATTCAGCAAGAAGTTCTTGAATAAAGTCCACGAGAAAGACGCGCCCTCTGTCGCTCAAACGTTCACGTGTAGCGTCGTGACGCAAAACCAAACGTTGCAGCAGGAAGGTGCAATGTCACGTGCCGTCGCGGCTGGTTGAGCGGTCGTTTTTGCATATCTCGTGAGATGGTCGATTGCTACAATAATCCAACGATTCGTAGCTGATGTATATGACAGAGGACTATAGAGGTCTATTCCAACCAGGTCGAATGGTCGCACTGGGTATGGTAACGGCTAAGTTGGTGCTGTAGGACGGCTAGGGTCGTGCTTGCGGCGTTGGCACTCTGTGCAAGATCGAATGTACTTTTGAACGATTGTGTACATGCCAGCCAAAAGCGTAGCCTGGCGTAGCTTTTAAACAAACCGGCGTGTGCATACTGCGGATCGGCATGGAAAGCATGCACATATCCTGGCACGGAGATGGCTGGGTATGACGAGTAGCAAATGGCGGCCATCTGGGTGGTAGTTGCGGCGATAAAGTATTCCATCATGGATGGCGAAGTGAGAAGCTTGGCGGTGTAGCACTCGAGATGGCGGGTGGGCGAGTGTTTCAGATAGCTAATCTATCAGAGACGCAATTCACGAATGTTTGTCTCGCTCCGCAGCCATGTCGATGGGTCCTGATAGTGGAAGTAAGTTGTCTTGGATAGAGACACTCGTAAATCAGTATAAACAGGCGAACGCGAAAGAGCATGGCATCGGCATGCGTTTGGCCTGAGCGATAATTGACACTGATGTCGTACTCTTCGAGCCGTACAGCCTATCGCGCCAAGCGTCCGGAGAGATCCTCGAGGGAGGATAACCAGCGGAGCGTGTGGTGATCAGCAACAACGTTGAAAGGGTGGTGGTAGAGATAAGGCCGCAATTCCGTAATGACCCAGATGATCGTTAGGCATTCTTTTTCAGTTACCAAATAACTTGCTTCTGTTCTTACAAGAGTGCGGCTCCCGTACGCAACAATACATTTTTGGTAACCAGGCTTTCGTCGGACGAGTACAGTGCCAAGACCGACACCGCTAGCATCCATGTGGATTTCTGTGGGAGCGCTTGAATGGAAATGACGCAGTAGGGGTGGTGTTGTGAGCCGTTCATGAAGCTTCGCAAAGGCGCTATCGCAGGCTGGAACCCACGCAGATAAATTGCATTCTCCCTAAAGTAGTTCTCTCAGGGGTGCTACGATCGAGGCGAAATCCCGGAGTAATCGGCGGAAGTATGAGCAATAGTCCAGTGAAACTACGCCTCTCCTTGAGAGACGCGAACCTCGGGAACTCGTTAACAGCACGTAGCTTAGCGGGTAAAGAAAAACGCCACTCTTCGACATGACGTGTCCGAGAATGGTAAGCTTGCGTGCTCCAAAGTGACATTTCTTCTAATTTAGTTGGAGGCCTGCTGCAGAAAGGCAGCGTAGAACCTGTTCCAAGCGACGAAGGTGCGTGGGAGAATCGGGCTAAAATACCACCACATCATTTATGTAGCACAAACACGTGTTCCATTTGAAGCCTCGTAGGATAGTGTCCATCATGCGCTCAAATATTGGCGGTGCATCGCATAGGCCAAATAGTATCACGTTAAATTCGTATAAGTCATCTGGTGTAACAAAGGCAGTTTTTGGCCTATCCGGATTATTGGGCACTTGCCTATAGCGTATATCAAGGGAGGAAAAGAAATCTGCGCCTTCTAAAGAGTCGAGGGAGTCATCAATACGAGGCAAAGGATAAACATCTTTTTGAGTTATTATGTTTAGACGACGATAATCTCGCAAAAGCGCATCGTCCCATCCTTCTTTTTAACTAAAACAAGCGGCGATGCCCAAGGACCGTTTAACAGTTGAACGACGCCACGCTTTAGAAAGTCAGCTACTTGTTCATCGATGATACGGCATTCAGTCGGTGAAACACGGTACGGTCGCTGCCGTAGGGGTGGGTGATTACCTGTATCAATCTGGTGGCATACAGTAGATGTTCGACTTAAGAAGATTGTCAAAACTATGACTGTGACTGTCAAA